GTACTTCTCAGAAATATACTTAAAATGACATTTAAGTATACTTGACTTATACTTAGAAAAAGTCTAAATATCAAGTCAAAATATATTTGAGCTATAATTGTGCTCCTAGAATCAGTGTTTTAATTGTTATAATGTAGGGGGCGCTAGTAAACATCTTCTGTACAGAATTTCCAAAAAACACAAGTGAAGAAGAAACCGATTCTTTTGATGTTTTGTATGTTCAGATATTCATGTAACAAAATATATACAAATTAATACCTAAATAGGGACAGTAATATACTTAAAGTATGATTTAAGTTCACTTAAAGAAAACGTACGAGTATACTTGCAGTATAAAACTACTAAACGAGTAGTTTACTGAGACTATACTTCAAAGTGTACTAAAAATGCTAAAAAACTATTTAATTAGTAAACTATCAGTATACCTATAAGTTCACTTTTAGTATAGTTGCAGTACAAGCTAAAAAATGTTATGTAAACTAGTTGTGTACTCAAAGTTTACTACTGTTATACTTAAAGTATACTTAAAAGTATACTTTTATATACTAGAAAGTGGGCCAATTTAGTCCCAAGGAGTATTGAAATAGTACACTTACAAGTACTTAAAAATATACTTTAACATTTCTTAAGTATACTTAATAAAATAAACTTGAAGTATACTACTTTTTGGTAAGGGTATTTATCAAAGTATTACATTTAAATTAAAATATAGATTCCATTCAAACTTAAAATTAAATAAAAATGTAAAGTATCCTTCTGAGTAACACATTCATCATCCCAAATGCAACAGTGATGAGGTCATCACAATATTTGCATAGTAAAGTCTGTCTGATGCTCTTTCGTTGTAATTGGCCTCTTTTTCAAGCATCAGTTTCAGCAGGAAATTATCATATTTAACTTTGTTGTTGATACTCCATTTCAAATGTAAAAGTTCACATACACCCAGACAAACAAACTCAATAAAGAAAGAAAAAGCGTCAAGGCTTGTCTCCAGTGGTCTGTTTTGCTGTAGTAAATGCACGCTAGTAACAGCAGAGTTGCACAACATTCCCACCACATCTATTTTTCATCAGACCACAACTTATACATATCTCAGGCTGCTCGGCAAACATCAATATATTATCCACATAAACACAGTCCAAAAAAAAGGAGGGAAAAAAAGAAATTCATCATGAACAATCCTGTGATTCAATACCAGCAGAATATGAGGTTACTCCTGTCTTGCAGACATGCAAGAGAAAATTAGTACTTTCAGAACTCACGAGTTCACACTTACATATAATTAGCTGAAGTATAGTAATGTGTATTTGCCGTGCTGTCCGGGGAAGGGTTCCGAGCTCGGGAATGGCCCGAACCCAGAGTACCAACCCCCCCGTATAAGTGTAGTTAGAATCTCTTCTCTCCTCTGCGGCTGTATGTCATTCTACATTTCACGAGTTCACACTTACATATAATTAGCTGAAGTATAGTAATGTGTATTTGCCGTGCTGTCCGGGGAAGGGTTCCGAGCTCGGGAATGGCCCGAACCCAGAGTACCAACCCCCCCGTATAAGTGTAGTTAGAACTCGAAGTGAGGAGATGGGGCGGTGGAGGGATGCTGATAAACCGTCAATGGATAGAGGTAAGTCTGCTGTATATATACCTCTTGGTGTTGATTAACTTGTGTGCGCTCCTCTTGTGTTAATTAGGCAAAGTATCTGACGTGCTTCTCCCTGTCACGATTCGCTGCTACTGTGTCGGAGACGAAGGAGATTAAACATCAACAGTCTTTATTCATCCAAATAAAGAGGTACACAGAACAGGCAGGAACACACACGTAGCACGAGGGGTAGCCGTACAATACCGGATGCTAGACACGGAAAAACACAGGACTTAAGTACTTAGAAACGAATTGGGACACACCTGAAATCAATTAACATAATTGACACGAGGGAGAATCTAGGTCATGGGGAGAACATGGTGGATCAGGCAGCTCAGGGCGCCATGGCGGATCAGGCAGACTAGGAAGACATGGTGGAGCTGACAGTCCAGGAGTCCATGGCAGAGCAGGCAGACTAGGAGGCCATGGCGGAGCAAGGAACTCAGGGGGCCATGGCGGAGCAAACAGTTCAGGAGGCCATGGCTGAGCAGACAGTTCAGGAGGCCATGGCGGAGCAGACAGCTCAGGAGGCCTGGCCTCGGCACTCGGCCTGACCTCTACGGACGGATCCCTATAACCACCCCCCCCAAAAAAAAATTATCCTTGGGGAGAATATTGGCTTCTGAGGCCCACATGGGCAGGGTGTGGGAACAGTGGCCCTCATTGGGCTGGACGTGGGGACTGGAGCCCTCCTTGGGCTGGACGTGGGAACTGGAGCCCTCTTCGGGCTGAACGTGGGAACTGGAGCCCTTTCAGGAAGCGGACTCAGGGGCTGGAGCCGATTTGGGGTTAAGGATCAGGCTGCTGTAAGCTGAGGGCTTGGGAGGGAACTGGCCGGCGGGCTTGACTGCTGAGAGGCCGGCGGGATTGAGAGCTGAGCGGCCGGCGTCACTCTCCAGTCACGTCCGGCTGGATCCCTTCCCTCCAGCTTAGTCCAGTGGTGTCTGGGAGGTCCACGGGGCGATATTAATTGACCCCGATCCAAAACAGAGAATTGATGGTGGTGTCCTTTTTACATGTTTTTCTATGATTGGTAAAAGGGTTGTCTTGTCCCTTTTGTCCACCAAATGCAATACTGGTTTTCGGGAGGGCAAAATCTCAACCATCCCGAATACCCAGCTTTTCCTTATCCATGCACCTCCAAAAATTTAATTTATTTCATACACTCTTATTTTCTAAAAGTCAAAAGCACTAGTGGACACAACATTTCACAATAACAGCAAGATTAAAGAGAATACAAAATTATTTAAATAATTTACTCTGGTAAAGATTATATTAAAAATGTTAAATTGAAATGACCAATGAATGTGAATTCTGTATAAATGAACCAGACACTGCATTTTCTGGAATTGTCATCTTGTTAACAATTCTGTAATGATGTCTCTCAATTTGTATTTACAAAAAAATACTCTTCCACTTGAATAAAACAATATTTTCTTCTATTTTTAACACAATCACAGATGTTGGTTATTTATATTGATGTTATTTTCTGAACTTGTTTAACATGCCTTATATTTCAATCAATCAGATACTTACCAGAGGTAAGTAACCATCTTTACAAGAAGACGTCACCATTTTCATGCCTTCCTTGCATCGCCTACATTTAATTTGACCATGGAGTAACCTTTTTCTTTGCATCCACTTTATCAATTTTAGACGTGACCCTAACATAAACTTTCTCAATGAGTTTTTAGACGTGACTTGTTCGTTTCCCTAACATAAACTTTCTCAATGAGTGCTCTTAACAAAGTGCTCATCTACACAATTGATTAAATGTACTGTAAATCTAATATTTTGTTTTCCAAGTTTGATTTCTTCCCTCCTACCCGAACTTCTTCAAGAGTTTTTTTTATTTAAATGAGCTCTGTTGGCGCGATTTCTGTTTACAATTCTAGGCGCGAAATGACGAATCCGGAAATGGGCGGGACTTTGACGGCCCAGATGTTTTGGGAATAAATATTATTTAAATATATATGTATATATACTCTATGCCGTTTGTTTTTATAATATTTAATTACTATTAAATTATAGTAAAGTTTATTTGTATCAATATTTATTAGTTTTTCTGTCCCGACTGCACCACCGATGGCATTGTCACAAGGTACATTTGTTTGCGGCCCAGTGGATCTTCCGTAACGGCAGAAAAAACATTTTGACCTACCGTATGGTGTGATCGAACTTCCCAGACGTAACAGCTGTGGGGAAAAAAGGTATTTTATTAAGTTAAGTTCTGACTTTCAGCCAACGTGTTATGACATTTGACAGCTGTTTATGAAGTCCTGTTTCAAGTAGTGAAAAGTGATCAGCGTTATTGACGGTTTCTATAAAAAAGAACATGTATATTAGTGTGGTAGGTTTATTTCAGCTTATATTGTAGTCACTTGTAGTAAACTAGATTTGTTTATTAGATTTTGTTTTGGTCACATGAACAGATCACTAAGGAAAGTAAACCTTTTTGTTTGTTTGATTGTTTTCTTTTCTTTTTAATGCCTAAAAGATTACTTATTTTAGTATATACATGTATATCAGAAGTATAACAATGACATAGAGGAAAAATTAAACTTGGTCACTTAATCATCATCCGTCAGGAAGACTGGGGCCTGTTGCATAAACTGCTTACAATCGTATTAAAAGTTAGTCACCTATTATTATTATTATTATTATTATTATTATTATTATTATTTTAAGACTGGTCATAACTTTAACTCGGTGTGATCGAACTTCCCAGACGTAACAGCTGTGGGGAAAAAAGGTATTTTATTAAGTTAAGTTCTGACTTTCAGCCAACGTGTTATGACATTTGACAGCTGTTTATGAAGTCCTGTTTCAAGTAGTGAAAAGTGATCAGCGTTATTGACGGTTTCTATAAAAAAGAACATGTATATTAGTGTGGTAGGTTTATTTCAGCTTATATTGTAGTCACTTGTAGTAAACTAGATTTGTTTATTAGATTTTGTTTTGGTCACATGAACAGATCACTAAGGAAAGTAAACCTTTTTGTTTGTTTGATTGTTTTCTTTTCTTTTTAATGCCTAAAAGATTACTTATTTTAGTATATACATGTATATCAGAAGTATAACAATGACATAGAGGAAAAATTAAACTTGGTCACTTAATCATCATCCGTCAGGAAGACTGGGGCCTGTTGCATAAACTGCTTACAATAGTATTAAAAGTTAGTCACCTATTATTATTATTATTATTTTAAGACTGGTCATAACTTTAACTCAACTGCATAAAAAACGTTTGTCAAATTTAAGACCAAAAAGTAACTAACTGCTAGTTGGTCAGACAAGTTCTTAAAGCAGTCCATGCCAGGCCCATGGTCTTGAACATTTTGCCACTCCCTGAAACGATTGCTACACTGATTGGTTGCATGCTATGTGACATGATTTTTAATTTATTTATTAATTTTTTGATTATTAGATGACACATTACAACACCCGCAAAAAAACGCAACTTAGAAAGTGCAGAGGATGAAGGTAAGCCAAATAGTACTATTTGAAAAATAGTAATCATTTAGCAAATAGCAGTTTTCTTACACTTACTATACACTAGTTTCTTTAGTGTATAGAAAAATCTGTTTTATATATATATATATATATATATATATACAGTATAGATAGATCGATTTTTTAAAAATACCTTAAATTTGTTCTGTTTTTCACTTTGTTTTTGCATG